CATGCCATAACACGAACCCTGAAAACATCACATTACATTAAAAAAGCCAATCAGAAGCCATTTGTGCGCGCACACACACAGAGTATGATTCTATTCCTAGGAAAAACCCAGAATAGGCATTATCCACACAGAAATAAAATAGTAGCTAATTAGGGATAGGATGGGTACAAGCTTGGACAGTGAGCATTACTGCTGGCTAAGGGGCTTTTTAAATAGGGTGAAAATGTTCTGAAATTAGATCTGAAGATAGTCGTACAACTTGTGAGCATAATAAAACTGAATTGTGCATGTTAATAGGTAAATTCTATGGTATGTGAACTATATCTAAATTAAGCTATTATTTTAAAAATCCTACTACCTATTTAGATTCGTTATTCCGTGGTGCCTAGAGCAACATCCCCTTGCATTAAATACCAAGTCCTTACAATCCTGTCTTGTGTTTAAGATTATCAGATATCTCAACTTCACCTTGCCTTTGCATCATTTCTATTTCATTTCAATAGCAATCCTGGTAGATGAACTCCAGCGATGAACACTGCTCAAACAGATGCAAACTTCATCCACACTTTATTAAACTCTTCACTCTGTAGAGCTCTTGACCAGTGACTCTTTGTACTTAATATTCCTAACTAGATCAGCAGTTTTCTTCTGAAATTTCTTTTGAAATACTTGCTACAATGATTGTTACACAACTGAAGTTCAATGACCCAGAAGCTCTTGGCTCACCTAAGAAACACAGCTAGTTCCCAACAAGGACAGGCCAGAGTCCTACTTACCAAGTTGTGCTAGGCCCACCTGCTAGCGATCAAGTGAAATCAGAGTGACTCATTTGGGTCACTGGAAGTGGACTAGGGCAAAGAGGCAAGTCAGCTCTTGCTCTGGAGATAAAGGCGCTAGATGAGGAATGAGCAGATCATCTCAGAAAGTTACCTAGACTAAGGAATCTGAGGCCTTGAACCCTTCTGCTGCTTGCAAGCCTGTACTTGAGCTTTCCTCCACAAATTTTAAGTTCTGAAGAGCAGGTATCTGAGCAGTGTGCCAAAGTACCAAGGGAAAAGTCAAGCAATGAAGACCTACAATCCCTGACCCTTGGATTCCCTGAGACAAAACACACTCCCATGGAGACTTAAGAATAACAGGAACAGGGCCCAGCACGATGGCGCAGTGGTTAAGGTCCTCGTCTTGCACGCGCCGGAACCCCATATGGACATCGGTTCTAACCCCGGCAGCCCAGCTTCCCTTCTAGCTCCCTGACTGTAGCCTGGGAAAGCAGTCGAGGACGGCCCAAAGCCTTGGGACCCTGCACACACATGGGAGACCCGGAAGAGGCTCCTGGCTTCAGATTGGCTCAGCTCCAGCCGTTGAGGCCGCTTGGGGAGTGAATCATCGGAGGGAAGATCTTCTTCTCTGTCTCTCTTCTCTGTATATCTGCCTTTCCAATAAAAATAAAAAAATAAATCTTTTAAAAAAAAGAATAACAGGAACAGAGCTGGCGCCATGGCCCAACATGCGAACCCTCCACCTGTAGGGGCCAGAATCCTATATGGGCACCAGTTTATGTAACACCTGATCCACTTCCCATCCAGCTCTCTGCCTGTGGCTGGAAAAGCAACTGAGGAAGGCCCAAAGCCTTGGAACCCTGCACCTACACAGGAGACCCAGAAGTTCCTGACTCCTGGCTTCAGATCGGCTCAGCGCTAGCCACCGTGAACATTTGGAGGAGTAAAACAGCAAATGGAAGATTCTCTCTCTATAAAATCTGCCATTCAAATAAAAACAAATCTTTAAAAAATGTGTAATAGGAACAGCAATTTACCATCAACTCAACATACATTACTATAGAGTACTGAACATGGCTAAGGAACAGAGGACACCACAGTAACCCTGTCATGGCAAGAAGTGCCTCTGCAGCTCTGCCCTCCACTGACATCCTCTCAGAGGGCCTTTCCAGGAAGACACATGACCATGAGACCCAGACAGCAGGTTTCTTGGGGAGGACATTAATTGGTAGACGTATAAACAAAAATTCTAAAATTATTACTGCAATTACAGAAACTACCACAATGTCAAACTATTTATTCAAGGATCACTCCTGCTAGCTTCAGCTCCAACTTCAACAGGCAACTGTTTAAGATGAGCTCATCTTAGTTTTATTTGAGGGTCTCTGAATTCAGAGATGAAGTATTTGCTTTTAGATCCAGGTATACATTATTACAAATAACAATTGGATCATTTCTGCTTAAGCACTTAAAAAACTTTCTGGTAAAATTCAGAATGAGTCGAATTCGCTTCACTTTAATTAGCAAATCATGACCCTCTGTTATCTCAGTGTTCTTAAAAAAAAAAAAAAAGAAGAAGAAGAAAAGCTGTATTATTTATTTGAAAGGCAAAGTTACAGAGAGAAGGAGAGATAGAGATCTTCCATCCAGCGGTTCATTCCATAAAGGGCTGTATCAGCCAGAGCAACCAGGCTGAAGCCAGGGGCCAGGAGCTTCATCCCAGTCTCCCAGCTGAGTACAGGGACCAAGGGATGTGGGCCATCTTCTACTTTCCCAGGTACATCAGCAGGGATGGGAATAAGCATCCCTGTGGGTGGGATGCTGGCGATGCAAGCAGCAGTTCCACCTGTTGCATCACAGCACTGGCCCCTGCCCTGGTGTTCCACTTCAAACTGTGCTCCCACATCTTTCTAAACCCTGTCCTTAATTTGCCAATGATTCTTACTTTGGGACCAATTCTCTTCCATCAGCAAGTGGTCCTTAGAAAGAACAATGTTACATCAATTGGCTTCTGCTGCAGACTCATAAATTGAACTTCTATTTATCATTTGCTAATACAGTTTTAAATAACTTCTTTTAAAAAGGTTTTGCTTGCAAAGTACAAACATTTTAATTTACATTTTGATTAATATAAAACACAGTCAAGGATGGCTCAAAGCCTTGGGACCCTGCACACGCGTGGGAGACTCGGAAGAGGCTCTGGGCTCCTGGCTTCAGACTGGCTCAGCTCCAGCCGTTGCAGCTGCTTGGGGAGTAAATCATCAGACAGAAGATCTTCCTCTCTGTCTCTCCTCTTCTCTGTATATCTGACTTCCTAATAAAAAATAAATCCTTAAAAAATATATATAAGAACCTTTATAATGTAGTCTCTGGACACATTTCTAAGACCACAATCCTTCCTTCCTTCCTTCCTCAATTCCTTCATTTTTAAATTTATAATCAAGGGCTCCAACTAGATAAGGAGTTGAACAAGTGAAACAAGAAAGATTATTGTTCAGCAGCAAGACAGACCAGGCTTGTAACAAGAATCAAAGCCAAAGACATCAATTTCACTCTTAAACATCAACTACTGGGTCTGGCGATTGTTCACGGCTAAATCCTTGGCTTGCATGTGCCATCAGGATCCCATATACGCTGTTTCATCTCCTGGCTGCTCGACTTTGCATCTAGCTCCCTACTTTCGGCCTGGAAAGGTAGAAGAGGATGACCCAAGGCCTTGCACCCACAGGGGAGACCTGCAAGAAGCTCCTGGTTCCTGGCTTCAGATCAGCTTAGCTCTGGCAGTTGCAGCCACTTGGGGAGTTGACCAGTGGACAGAAGACCTTTCTCTATGTCTCTCCTTCTCTCTGTAAACCTACCTTTCTGACACAAATCGTTAAAAAAAAAAAAATCCATTACTTATATTCTATATATTAACCACCACAAATCAGAGAGAACAAGTGACACTTATCTTGTACTCGGTTACTCGGTTAACAGCAGTGATATCTTGAGTAACATTGCAAAAGTTCACAAACAAGTTTCCGACAGCTGACAACCACAAGCTTGGGCAAGTCAATTGAGAAATGGCATTCTTAATTAGAATGAAATAACAGCAAAGGGCAACAATCAAAGGTGTTGCCTCGCACACAGAATAGGCTCAGCAGAGGTTCTCCCCCAACACCGCTGCCCCAAACGACATGCTGTCTTTTCCACTACATTGTGTAAATGTTTCTCAATCAACCAAGTAAACACGGCGTGACGTAATTCGTGCATCTTACTCCAGCCTAACCACCCCCAAAACTCCATCCATTCCTGGGGAAGTGAACACTAATTATCAAACATGAAAATGAAGAATCGTATCTGAGAACCACCATCAGCACAGCTTCAGAAATCACTTTTTGTTTTTTTAAAGGAGTAAGCGGGCGGCAACAGGGGAAGGAAGGGACGAAAAAGAAAGCAGAAATGAACAGCAATATAGAACAGAAAAAAAGCAAGGGCCAACTTGCAGGCAGGCAATTTTCCCAACTTCTGCAGCATGCCCTTTGTCCTGCATTCTGAATGCCTGCAGGGTTAACTCAGGTTCTCCCTCCCACAAACGCCCTTGGGATAAACATCTCTCCCTTTGCAACATCGTCGAGAGGGGCCACTTCCAGGAAGGAATCCTTCTCGGTACTGGGCGATTCCAGAACAGCCAAGATCTGGGTGTCTGGTATTTTTCTTGTTTCCTGGCTATGTGAATTAGATAAAAAAGGCCCAATCCAAAGAAAGGGGACCCACTAAGCACTAGGGTGGCGGGCACCTCTGGTCCTAACACCCTCATCCCAGTAAAGCTAACAGCTCGCTTGGCTTCCTTAGGAGTGGGCCGCTGGTCGAATCCTGTGGAAAACTTTTTATTTTCAACAAACTGACAAGGGGCGGCGAGCCACGGCTGGGTAAGGAGGCAGCGACGACAAGGTTCCCCAAGGGCCTCGAACCCCGGCACGGCTCCAAGGGCACCACGCCCCCGCGAGCCCAACGCCGCTTTCTCCCGCACCCCAAGCTGCACTCGGCAGTTCCCAGAGTTGAGTTTGCAGGGTGTGGGGTATCTGCAAACTGTGCAACAACTCTAAGCAAGCCACAAGATGGGGGTCTCCGGAAACAGAGCGGGGAGCTGGGAAGCGGCAGGAAGGGCGCCGGGTTTGGTCAGCGGCCGCCGGGCCCCGCCGAGTCCCGGAGAAGGAGACGGCGCCGACTCGCACTCACCTGCCCATTCGCCGAGCCGCGGCCCGACCCACGCATCGTTGCCCACACCCCAGAGCCGAAAGGCCCAGAAGAGCCAGTACGAGACGCGTAGGGTGAGGTAGGCCACCGTGCCGGCGCCCACCCAATACAGGAGACCGGCGGCGACAGACAGAAGGCACGCCATGGCTTTCGGACTAGGCCTCACTATCTTCTTGAATGAACAAGAAAAAAAAAAAAGAATGAATGAACGAAGTCAGAAAGAGGCTGCGGCCGTGACGAAGGAGAAGGCACTAATACGAGCCGATCCTACACCATTTAAGACCTGAACTCCGCCCACCGCGCCATAGCCGTACCGCCATTGGTGATCTGTCGCGCCCTCTGAGCGTAGTGCGACACCCATTGGCTGACTCCGGCTTCACTCTCCCACCCACCTGCTACCCCGTCCTGCGTACGTGATTCGGTTCTAAGGCTGCCCATCAAACTCGGATCCCGCTGTCCAATCAAGCTGTCAATCAAGCTTCGGGCCCGCCCAAGCGTGTCTGGCACACCCCTTTGGAATTGGCCTCCTGGCGGCCTGTCTCACCCCACCGAGGCGCGCCGGTCGCTCATTGGCTGCAGCGATCCTCGCGACTGCAGAAGACTGCACCCTGATTGGCCAGTGTGTAAATTCGGATTTGAAGATGGCGTGGGATCTGAGGAAGCTAGAATGAATGGAAGACTAGTAATAACTGGGCGTAAAGCCACGATTTCATGAGGTCACTGTGTGCTGTCATCGTTAAACTTCTGGACAAAGGTTTGCTGTTTCCTAAGTTCGCTTCCACCTACGCCGAGCGTTCCTTGCGTGGAATGACTAGCACACAGCTCTGAAATGAAGGAAAACATGATGTAGGAACACTGCTTGATGAACAGTTTTGGAAAGGGTGTTTTTTAAATAGGCCTTAAGATAAGACAGATAATTTTATGTCTCTTTTTATTTAAAATTTTCTGGGAGAGAGAGTGGAGTTTTTGAGTGGGTGCACAAGTGTGAGCAAAACAGAGGATGAAGGAATCTATTAAGTTTTGGAGGAGTTAGACCACAAGGCAAGTGGAAGAAAGTGCTTCACGTGTACTCTCCCATCCTACTTTAGATAACTTTTCTATGGATAGAGGAGTAAAAGGCAGTGTTTGAACCTGAATGTGTTCAAACCTAAAACCACGTGTTGGGTTTTTTGCTTTATATGTGTGTGTCATATAATATATATAACATATATTTGCTTTATATATATATTTTTTTTCTTTATCAGCTAGATCTGTTCAAACCAGAAATGGCTCAGTGAAGGCAGAATAAAAAGGTGGCTAGGGATTGGCCCCCTGCAATAGTAAGTTAAGCCTGTATTAGGTTGAGTATGGTGCTGGCATCCCATTTGAGCACAGGTTCCAATCTCCACCTCTGTTCCAGCTCCCTGCTTGTGGCCTGGGAAAGCAGTCGAGGATGGCCCAAAATGTGGGATCCCTGCACCCACATCGGAGACCCAAAAGAAGCTCCTGACTCCTGGCTCCAGATTGGCTCAGCTGCAGCCCTTGTGGCAACTTGGGTAGTGACCCAGCAGATGGAAAATCTTTGTCTCTCCTCTCTGTGTATCTGCCTTTCCAAGAAAAAATAAATAAATTTATTTTTTTAAGTGGCTAAAGGAGAGAAGAACCTCAAATATTGTCTCACACAAATCGACATAGCTACATTGGATTTCAGTCTCATTTATTGAAAAAATTAGAGTTTAGAATAGTCTTTAATATGGAAAGAAAAATGAAGCAACAAAATGAGTCATATTAGTCTACAAATAATCCCATTCAATTTTAAGGTCATTTTTATTATTTCAATACATTTTTGTGATTAAATCACAGATACTTTTCAACATAATGAAAAAAAATTCCAAAAGTGGGATGTTTCATGAAAGGTAGGAATTTTTCCAAGCGCTGTCATGCTTAATTCTCGGGGTCACAGAGTCGACACCTTTGACTGTATAGTAGAACATTTTTGACAGCTGTGTCTTCTCTCTTCTTTATTTAAATCCAGTTCAAAGGGTTGCACTTTACTTGCCTTTAAGATCAGCTGTCTAATCCTGTGTCAAAAAAAAAAAAAAGCAATTTAAAAGAAACTGGGCGAATATTTCAAAAGGTGAATATTTCACTCCTTGAACAAATATTACCATAAGAAAGGAACATTGACTTGCATTTATGCAATAATAGCTCATTATCATTTTCAAGAAGATTTCACACCTCAGTTCATTTAATAACACTCTGATGTTTCCAACCAGAAAAAAGGCTCTCAGTGGAATTTCATGTGTAAAGACCACTGGAGTGCAGTAGACCTAGTTCCAGAACCAAGGAGCCTGCACTATCTTTCTAGCCACAGACCAGGGCTCACTGTTCCAGGGGTCTTATGTGAGACTGTAACCAGTCATTTTGAAACAAGAGACTTAAGAATACAGTTTTATTGAGCATGACACAATGGCTTAATCAAATAATCTTCCACTTGAAAGTACCAGGATCCTATATAGGTATAGTTAGTGTCCTGGCTGCTCCACTTCCCTTCCAGCTCCCTACTTGTGGCCTGGAAAAGCAGCAGGGGATGGCCTAAAGTCTTGGCTCCCTGCACGCAAGATAGAGACCCAGAAAAAGCTCCTGGCTTCAGATAAACTCTGCACCAGCCATTGCAGCCACTTGCAGAATGAACCAGCAGCTGGAAGATCTTTTTGGGGAGTGAACCAATGGATGAAAGAGCTTTCTCTCTGTCTCTCCTTCTCTCCATAAATATGCCTTTAAATAAAAATAAGCAAATCTTTTAAAAAATGAAAATACTTTTTTTGTTATTCTTTAGCTTTTTTAAAAAAAAAAAGATTTGTTTATTTTTATTGCAAAGTCAGATATACAGAGAGGAAAAGAGACAGAGAGAAAGATCTTTTGTCTGATGATTCACTCCCCAAGTGACTGCAGCAGCTGGTACTACGCCTATCCAAAGCCATGAGCCAGGAACTTCCTCCAGGTCTCACCTGAGGGTGCAGGGTCCCAAAGCCCTGAGCCATCCTCTACTGCCTTCCCAGGCCACAAGCAAGGAGCTGGATGAGAAGTGAGGCTGCCAGGATTAGAACTGACACCCATATGGGATCCTGGCGCTTTCAAAGCGATTACTTAAGCTGCTAGGTCACCACACTGCGCCCTGCTTTTTAGTTTTAAAGGCTCAGGGATTTATATAAAATGAAAAAGTCCCACCCTATTGCTGGTTCTCACTGATTATGACTGGCAATTTTGATATACTCATATTCGTCCATCTCTTTTTCTATGTAAGACTAAAGCTAGGTAGTATGTATGATATACATACACACTTTTCTTTAAAAGAAAAACCATGCTCATACAAACACAATCTAACAACTCTATCTATTCAGTAATCTGACAGACACATCAGTCTTGGCAATTCAGCTGTTTATTTTTCTTCACTTAATCAACAGATTTGATAATCATTGCAGCAACCTTACCCAGAACCAACACTTAAACTAATAATGATGATGATGATGATGTCGTAGGGAACGAGCCAGTTTAAAGCTAGGTGAAAGGAAAAGTAAACAATGATGTTTTATTATACCCACATATTTACATTTTTTTAAGACAAGCATATAAAACTTAAGGTTGGTAACATAGAATTTCTCCTTTGAAAAATATTTTTTAAAGTCTTTAGTGATTTTGTTGTTTAAAAAGCAGAAGAAGAAACAGAGAACTTCCATCTACTGGGTCATTCCCCAAATTGTAGCAGTAGCCAAAGCCAGGAGCCAGGACCTGGATTGACCACGTGGGAGGCAGGGGCCCACTAGCACATTAGCAGGGAGCTGGATTAGGAGTGAAACAGTCAAGATTCCCACCAGTGATCATATAGGATGCCAGCATGGCAGGCAGTAGCTTAAGCCACTGTGCCACATTACCGGCCCCAATTTCTGGGGACTTCTTTCTTTTTCTTTTTCTTTTTTTCTTTCTCTATTTTCTTTTTTTTTTTTTTCTTTTAATGAATTTTACATAGTGGATTAGGGCTCAAAGGATAAAGGACTACAGGAAAGTGCGTAAGACCATTGTTTCCACATTCTCTTTATTTCATTCCTGTATCTGGGGAAAGGGAAGACACAAAGGGAGAAGCCACAGCCACCTTCCCAACCATCCCAGGGTCCCTGATGTGGGGCATGCTCCGAGGGCATTGCTCAAGTGGTTTCGATACTTCAACTGTTCTGAATTGCTGCCAATCTCACCAGGAACGTCTTTCTTTATGTGAATGCTTAATTTAGGAACACCTGCTATCTTTACTCATAAATATTTTTCTTTCCAAAAAATTATGGCTGGGCCAGTGTTGTGACACAGCAGGTTGTGAGCGCCAGTCTGGGTCCTGGTCGCTATGCTTCTGATCCAACTCCTTGCTAAGGTCGTGGGGAAGCGGCAGAGGACAGCCTGAGTGCTTTCAGCCACGGCCTCCTGCCTTCAGCCAGCCACAGGGGCAGCTGCTGTGGCCATCTGGGAGTGAACCAGGGTTTAAAACATCTTTCTCCCTGTCTCTTTTCTGTTTCTAATTCTGCCTTTCAAATGAGCAATTCTGTTTTTTTTTTAAATATAGTTACTATAGTTACTATAGTTCCTTTAACTAGATATTTGTTCTTTCTCCTTTTTTCTTTGTAGATATATTTGGTGCACACAAAAGACTGCATGAAGGGCCCAGCATGATAGCCTAGCAGGTAGGGACTTTGTCTTAAATGCACTAAGATCCCATATGGGCACCGGTTTTAATCCTGCTGACCCAGCTTCCCATCTAGCTCCCTGCCTGTGGCCTGAGAAAGCAGTGGAGGACAGCCCAAAGCCTTGGGACCCTGTACTCACAGGTGAGACTTGGAAGAAGCTCCTGGCTCCTGGCTTCATATTGGCTCAGCTCTGGCTGTTGTGGCCGCTTAGGGAGTGAATCATTGGACAGAAGATCTTCCTCTCTGTCTCCCCCTTCTCTGGCTATCTGCCTTTCCAATAAAAATAAATAAGTTTTTTTTTAAGATTTATTTTTATTATTTTTTATTGGAAAGGCGGATATACAGAGAGGAGAGACAGAGAGGAAGATCTTCCGTCTGATGATTCACTCCCCAAGTGAGCACAACAGCCCGATGCTATGCCGATCCGAAGCCAGGAGCCTCTTCTAGGTCTCCCACGCGGGTGCAGGGTCCCAAAGCCCTGGGCCGTCCTCGACTGCTTTCCTGGGCCACAGGCAGGGAGCTGGAAGGGAAGCGGGGCTACCGGGATAGAACTGGCGCCCATATGGGACCCCAGGCGTGCAAGGCAAGGACCTTAACCACTTGCGCCACCATGCCCGGCCCAAGTTGTTTTTTTTTTTTAATTACGTGAAGAATATGTGTGTTAGTTTAAAAGGCAAAACATAATGAAAAACTAAATGCATCGCCAAACTTCAGAACTAAAACCAAAAACCTGTCCCATCTCATCCCCCAGAGGTAACCACAGTCCTAAATGTTGTATATCATTCTGCCTTTATGTAGAATACATTTGCAACGTGTTTTAAAAGGTGATAGAAACATGCACAATATGAAAACTCATGGATTTCAAAATGTTCTCACCAAAATAAAACATTTTTCTTGTTCATATTTAATATTTGAAAGGCAGAAAGGCAGAGACCCCCTCCTTTGCTAGTTTACTTTCCAAATGCTTACCAAAGCCAGGACTGGGCCATGCTGAGGCTGGGAACACTCAATCCGTGTCTCCCAGGTAATAGAGACCTGAGTACTTAAGCCGTGGCCTGCTGCCTCCCAGGGTGTGCACCTGCAGGAAGCTAGCATCAGGAGCAGAGCTGTGACTTGAACCCAAGTATTCCAATGCAGGATGCAGCACTTCAAACGGCATCTTAGTCACTGTACCAAATGCCTGGCCCTAACCTACTCTCTAATTCCAGTTCTGCACCAACTTTCAAGGTCCCCTTACATATTATATATACTTATATCTCAAACACTGATGAAAGATCCGTGGTCATCTTAACCAATGTTTCAACTTCTACACCAAAATGTCTGCACCTATTTCAAATTCCTAAAGCGAAATTTCTGTACACATTTTAAAGCATTAAATTGTATGTTGTTTGTTGGGCAGAATGTAGATGCTGAAAGACATCTGTGTCCTAACTTCTGGAACCCGAGTAGACGCTCTACAGCAATGTTCCCAATAAGTTAATGTTAAGGTGGAGCCACTATGCAGCTCAACCCAACCTAATGACATGGGTCCTTAAAGTTAAAGAACCTTTCCCAGCTTGAATCATACAGAGAGATGTAACTGCAATAATGATCAGAGTGATGCAATATTGCTGGTTTTCCAATGGAGGAGGGGGGCCCACAAGACCAGGAATGCAGGTCATTCCTAGAAGCTGAATAAGGCAGGGAAATGAACTCTCCCTTAGAGTCCCTGGATAGCAATGCAGCCCCAACACTGATTTTAGCCAAGGGAGACCATGGTAGAATTGTAGGATATGAACCGTATACTATTTTTGTTTTGTTTTGTTTTGTTTTTGATGATCTTTACATAGTTGATTAGGGCACAAAGGGTCAAGGGCTACAGGAAAGTAGGTAAGGCCAATGTTTCCACATTCTCCTTTTCCTTCCTGTGTCTGGGGATGGGGAGAGACAAAAGGAAAAGCCACACCCACTCTCTTAACCTTCCCAGGGTCCCTGATGTGGGGCATGATATGAGGGCATGATCAAGTGGTTTCGTTAGTTCAACTGTTCTGAATTGCTGCCGATCTCACCATTCCAAGCACAATGAAATCTCTCCAGAATCCACTGGCTGACAGTCCACGTTAGCGTCTCCATTTGTCCAGATTTTCACTGACATACTTGGCTGGGGTAGTTAAACAATTTGTTTAGTCCTCTGTTCTGGTAATGTACTCCAATATACTACCATATCCCCCATGTGCACCTGGATATGCTGTCCACTGCTCCATCTGAGCCTCCGAGGAGGTTCAGCTTTGACACATGCACTCCATGGTCAGACCATGGAACCTGCAATTCTCTTCATGCTTGAAGTCCTGAGTCCAACAGTTTAATTGGGGGAATCCCCAAAGAAATTCCGTCTAAAGTGATCCAAGATCAGATTCTTGTGTGTGCATTCCAGTACAGGGTCCGTCACAGACCGTCACCCCAGTCAGCCCATGCATATGCTGGTGGTGGCAATTGCTGGGTCAGTTCTGCCTCCAGCCCCATCTTCCACACAAACCAATGGGTGTGGAGCCCAACTGTATACTGTTCTAAGCCACTTTGTATGTCATAACCACAATTTAAAAAAAAAAAAACCCTACTACTCCCTACCATCCATCCCTGAAAGCCCTCTCTGTAGTCTCCAAAAACATTAAAGTCCCACGGCTTGTACACCAGCTCGCCCCCAACCCTCAATGGAGTTCCATCAAGGCCTGTTCTTCCCTGTAGCCCTGGTAACAATCAACATTCAGGAAGTACTCACTGTACGAATCAAAGGGCTATTAGTATAGGAGGAAAAGGTAAAAATCGTGGCAAGGAGCAATCACTTCCACCTGCAAAAACGTATCAGTTACAGTTTTAAAACTCTAAGACTCACCTGTTAGTTCTCCTTTTTCACTCAATTGATAAGTTACGGTTTGTTCCTTGGTAGAAGTAAGAATTAAAAAATGGTGTGTCAGTGTGAAGAAGCCATGACTGTCATGCCATCTAGTCTAAATCAGGTTGTTTGCCATCTGCAGGAAATAAAGACAACAGACTCGAATCAGCATTAGACAATAGTTAAACTACAAAGACATATAAGGGTAATTAAGAGCGGTCCTGACAACCTCTTAACAGGAGGTCATATGACCAGAGCAGGGTGGGACCCCAGAGTAGAGCAGGGGGACAGGAGGAGGCTTGTATCCCAACCCTGAAGACTCACGGATTCTCACCAAGGACCATCAGTACGGGCACCAACGACAACATCCCACCTGCCAAGGAGACCACAGGGAGTTGGAGTGCCTTCGGAGGCCAAGAACTCTGAGGTCACCAACTCCCGCTTGGATCCACCACATGGGATGAAAGAAATCCAAATCTTTCCTCACAGGATCCAAGGGTGTCAGAACAACAGCCAGGAGCCCTGAGCAGTCCACAGAAACAGAAGAAGAGTAAACTTCCTTGGGGACTCAGGAGAGGAGCTTTCTCTGGTCCTCACTCGGTTCCAACCTTGGGTCCCCCACCCTCTCTTGCAATGACCATCAGGATCATTCCAGAAACCCCTCAAAATAAACAAGCAAAACTCTAGAATAGATAGAGAACAACAAGGAAAGCTTGGAATCAGACAGGAAATGGACAGTGTGGATTCACTTATACCTTACTAGGTGGGACACAATGATTGGTTACTCCTCACTAGGGTATTGAGGATTTCTCTGCACATCCCTCCTAAAACTGTTCTGCACCTAAACTGTTGACATATGTCTTGAAAGAGTTATAAGCCAGTCTAGACAACCCGAAAAAAAAGCCAAGTTCAGCAAAATTATGCTTCAACACTATATAATGCTAAATACTATAATGAAAATAGATACAAGACAGCTGAATAGTAATCTATAGCCATTTTAAGGTGTATAGAATCCGGTTGCACATAAACTAAAATTGAAATGTCAACGAAGGAGTCACAGGATGTGGTAAAGGACTTGCATTTTTTTTAACATGTTGGTTACTCAATACTACGTCAATTAATTCCATAACATTATTAATTGTTGCTGATGTTATGTTGGGGCTTTTAATTGATCAGGATGATACTCTGCCAGCTCTACCTTCAGACCAGAGATGGTCTCCCCAACAAGCCGTTGAATTTGTCTAAACAGTAAGATGCTGGACTTATGCTTGGTATGTGCTTGCAATGAAGGAATCTTGACTGAACTTGAACTGTGGTAATGCAACAAGGTGGAGGAATCCACCATGGGGAGAGGGTTAGGGGAGCGGTGGGGGGAATCCCAGTACCTATAAAACTGTCACATAATGCAATGTAATTAATTTTAAAAAAAGAATTAAAATAGTGTGTCAGTGTGAAGAAGCCATGACTGTCATGCCATCTAGTCTAAATCAGGTTGTTTGCCATCTGCAGAAAATAAAGACCACGCTGTTAAAACAGTGAAGAAAGCACAACTGGCTATCCTACCCCATGCTTTTGGGGCTTATCTGCCAAGGTTATTAACTGCATTGCCCACTCTCAGGAGTGTTCAGATTTCAGAAAAACTGCCTCATGTTTTCTAGCTTATTTGAAACATTTATTAAATTAGAATGCCAGTTATTTCTTGGTGAAATGGGTATACTTAGTGAACTATGTTCCCTTAACCTATACAATGTATCTAAACTTATCTTCTGGCCTCTGGCCTCTTTCTACTAGTTTTACTTGTAATACGAAGATTTAAATTTGTTGATTTATTCATTTTTATTTGAAAGGGAGAATTACAAAGAGAAGGAGAGACAGACAGAGAGATCTTCCATCCCCTGGTTCACTCCCCAAATGGCTGCAAAATTTGGAGCTGGCTATTTCTGGCACTGGGTTGGTCTGTGTCTCCTTCAAGGTCTCTCACAGGGGTTCAGAGGCCCAAGGACTTGGGTCATACTCTGCTGATTTCCCAGGCCATTAACAGGGTACTGGATCAGAGGTGGAGCAGCCAGGTCTTGAACCAGCACCCATATAGGATGCCAGCGCTTTGGGCAGAGGATTAACTTGCTATGCTATAGTGCTACCCCTGATATGGAGATTTTAATGAGTCTCCCATAAATCTTCTTGGAAAGCAGGTGGGAAATGAGAAGGAACTACTCACCCTCTTCTATGGTACCCAGGCATTAAGGGCATAGTATGGTCAAAGGCAGTAGTAAGGTGGTAAAGCTTTTTTTTCTGCCTTATGTCATTTGGCTGTTTATAACTATACATATTTATTAAAGTTCAGATCCCACTTGGAGTTGTCTTGACAGGGTTAGACCAATGATTTTGGTGGCCACACTCAGTTCACAGGTGAGACACTCTCCATCCCCGCACCAAAGCAAAAGAGTGCAAGGAGGAACAGACAGAACTCTAACCAGAGTGTACAGGAAGTGAGGCAAAGGAAGATGGCTCTGGGCTGCTGATCTCTCATCTGTGGCCTGAGCAGGTATGACTAGCATTGGCTGGGTCTTGCACAGGCCATGGATTAGCCTTCTGTGTTCTCTGTCCCCTTCACGTTGCTGGAGTCCACCAGGTCAGAAAACAATTCTGTAGAACATTTGATCATATATGGCATGGGGTCTGCAGAAAAGTTCGTGGAAATGCAGATTGTGAAATACTTGTGCGTGGATTTAGGAAATGTTTTATATTGTAAGAACTTATCATCGATTTTACATTTCGTGGACTTTTTGAATTCCCTTTGCAAATCAAGGCACTTCGTTGTCACAATCTTCTTTCCTCACAAAGAAAGAAAACAAGCCCTCAGACCTGTGACCCTGGGCACCCTGGGATTCAGTTAGCTCACAAGTGAACTGACAGCACAAATAATGCCGAGCTGTGAGGCAAGAGCATATGCAACACCTGTGAGAGATCTCCTGGGCCTACACTTCAGCTGGCAGTGAATGACAATTTATCTCATCCTCATCAGCAGTTTCATTGAACTTCATCAGTTCTACAGGTGAAAAAAAAAATTCTACTTTTCCATCTTGCATTTCTTTGAAGCTAAAATCTTGTTGATGTGCTCAATTGCATTTATCTCTTCATGACCTTGGACCATTTGTATGTTTGTCTTTTCCTAGTGATCATAAAAGTTTATTACAAGAGTATTTATTTGAGGTTATTAATCCTTTAAAAAAAAACATTTACCTTCTTGCTAGAGCTGGGACTGGGGGTGGGTTGAGCCACGCAAGGCTGCAGCACCTATAGGCATGAGTCTGGGCCAGGTCTGGAGGCGGAGCCAAATCTGGCAGCGTTCCAAGCTTGGCTGGGTCACAGTACCCACTGGCACACACACTACCCAAGAATGTGATACAATCTATGCTTGCAATGAAAGAATCTCAACTGAACTTGAACTGTGGTAATGCAACAAGGTGGAGGAATCCACCATGGGGGGAGGGTTTGGGGAGAGGTGGGGGGTAATCCCAGTGCCTATTAAACTGTGTCACATAATGCAGTGTAATTAATAAAAAAAAAAAAAAAGATTGTGATACAATCTTGGGGTGTGTGCTGGGCTGGCCCGGGGCCATAGCACCCTTGATTCACATGAGAGCAAGGGGAGGGACCTAGCGCAAAGGCTCAATTTGCAAAACTCTCATCTTGCAATCACTGCGATCCCATATGAACATCAGTTTGTATCCCAGATGTTTCAGTTCCCATCTAGCTACTTGGATGTCACCCCAGGAAGGCAGTGGAGAATGGCCCAATGCCTTGGGATCCCACATCCACCTGACAGAGCCAGAAGAGGCTCCTGGCTTTGGATCAACTCCAGCCATTGTGACCACTTGGAAAGTGAACCAGCAGATTGAAGATCTTTCTCTGTCTCATTTTCTCCCCATAAATTTTATCTGTCTTTCCATTAAAAATACATAAATCTTAAAAAAAAAAAAAAAGGAGAGAGAAGGGCATGGTAGGGGCAGGGCAGGCTGGGCTAGGCCTTAGCACCTGTCAGCACATGGAATTCAAACCCCCAGCCCCAGTTTTTGCATGTGCTCAGGCAGGCTAGCCTGGCATGGGCTAGGCTGAGCTAGGTGGCAACACCCACTCGTTCAAGTGAGAAATGAGGCAGGGGTGGAACTGACCAGGCAACTGCATCCTTGGGTTATATGCATTGGCTGGTATGGGAGGTGGCCCAAACCTGACTCTGTACTAATTGGTGCAAGCAAGGGTCAAGTCCAAGGACTTCCCAGGCAAGATTTTATGGTGGACTCCCTGACTAGGTGGCTGTATTTAAACCCCATCCTCAGGGAGCGTATGTATTGGGAATGGCATCCTCAGTGGCAGATGCACGTGCAGTGGAGAGCCTACCCAGATGCACACAAAAGATATGATGGCCAGCAGAGGACATTGAGTACCTCATCAGAGGATAAACAGGTTGGACAACTCTCCTGGCTGAGCATTGCAGCAAGTACCTGTGGATGCACTGAGTTGGACATGGTCAGCCAATAGACCTTGGGAAGATTTTCTGAGACGTGGTGTCATGAAACCAACAATGTCTCAGAACTATCAAAAAATCACTCAAGTAACACCCTCAGAACCCTCTCCCCCCAAATTGGGGTCTCTAAGACATCATCAAATGTCTCCCCATACTAGGGGCTGATATAATTTGACAGCAAGGAGTGTCTCCTCCATTGCTCCTGCACCCTGCCATCACATCAGACTAGAAAAAAATAACTGAACTGTATCTCATCCACATTCTTCCACACCTCAACCTTCCCCACCCTAAACAAAGGCCACATCGGTATGAAACCTCTCAACTACATAACTAGTATTAAAAACTTAAAATAAATAAATTATTTTTAAAACATATTCCTTCTTATTTTGAATTATTTCAAACATATAAGATACACAATCTAATGAACTCACAAAGAAACTTCATAACGACCAATTCACACTCATTTCCCATCTGCTGAAATATTCCTACTAAACCCCAGAAAACATGTTTTTTTTTAAATTTACAATCATTTTCGTATTCACAAGTATGTCTAAATTTATAAGAACTCTTTTTAAGAAGCAAAACCTGAGTGGCTGGGTGTTGGTGCAACAGGTTAAGCCGGCATCCCTTAGTGGAGGGCCAGTTTTAATCCCAGCTAGTCTACTTCCAATCCAGCTTTCTGCTACACAGACTGGAAGACATGGAACACAGCCCCAATATGAGGATCCCTGTAACTCATGTGTGAAACGCAGATGACATTTCCGGTTCCTGCTTTGGCCTGATTCCATGGCCACTGTTGTAGCCACTGGTAGAATGAACCAGGGGATGAAGGATCTCCTTCGCTGTCTGTCTCTTGTTCTGCCCCATTCTTCATTTTGCCTTCCACATAAAAAATAAATCTTTCAAAGACTAGGATATCATTATCCCCTCTAAAAACTTACTAATGCCTCCTTTTTACAACCAAATATTCTTGGACTTTTAGTTGGCCTATTAATGTTTTTGTTTTGTTTTGAATGGTATCTTCACAGTTATTGATGTGACTAATGGGCTTCTATTTGAAGTGCTGTGAGGCAAACCTTTCTGGAACTCACATGCAACAAAAACCATCACCTTTTTTCTTTTTCAAACATAATAATTCAACCTGGGAATATTCATCAATTCAAGACTTTATAAAAATAAGAGGACATTTTGGTTGACAGGAAAAGTAAGAAGGTAGGATTAATGTGGGAGCATGAAAAAAAGTATATTATCCAATTAAATCCCTAACTAGGCAGCTAGTTAATCTAACAAAGAATGATTACAGATGAGCCCCTAAAATTAATAAAGAAGTCATATTTATTAATATATGTTATATATTAATTAAAAAGTTACTATTAATAAAGAAGCCACAAATAAAGAAGTCATCAGACACCTGGATCATCCAAGTCTATTTAGGAAGCAATGCTCCACTTTTTAAATACCAGGGGAAAAGAAAAAGTAAAGAACATGCGAAAAGGTCAATGCAGTGGCATAGGAACCTAATTTTCTGCCTGTGGCACCAGGATCCCATATGGCCATCAGTTCGTGTCCTGGCTGCTCTAGCCACTTCCCAACCAGCTCTCTCCTTATGGACTGGGAAAACAACAGAGATTAGGCTAAAGCCTTGGGATCCCGCACCCACATGCAAGACTGGGAAGAAGCTCCTGGCTTGGGTCTCCAGATCACCTCAGCTGCTGCTGGCTATTGTGGCCATTGTGGCCATTTGCAGCGTGAACCAGCAGATGGAGGCTTTCTCTCTGTCTCTCCTGCTCTCTGTAAATCTGCCTTTCCAATTAAAAATAAATAAATAAATAAAAGAGTAGGTCTAGAGTTCTGTGTATGATTACCCATCTTTCCAGTCTGTTATTTCTCTTCAGAATTGTCCTAGTTATACTTACATTCTGAATGTTGTTCCATACATGTACAATGTGTGTTGAATGAGGATATGAACAATCTAAGTTCTTTCATGTGGCTCTATTTTTGGTCTGGATTTGCAGGAGACCAAAGACCCCAGTTTAGTATTTTCATGAGCTCTTCCTAAGGGAGCTACTTCACAATCACCATCAGCTCATGCAAGAAATGTTTTAGCTACATAAATAGGGATGTGTCAAAGACTTAGTTTCCAGGAACCAAGACTACATCTTATACAAGATGCTCAACAAACTGGACTTTTATGTTTGTTTATAGAGATATAATCAACTGCAAATTTAGGGAGAAATAATAAAGTAATTGCAAACTGGACTTTCATGTAAGAGGTATTATTTGTGGAAATATAGTTAACTACAAATTTATAGAAAAATAACAAAATGATTGCTAAAGATTATAATTTTTTATTACAGGTTTCAAGAAAAGAAAACATATTTAGGATGTTGAGGGCTGGACGTTTGATGCAGTTGCTGATGCAGCTTGGAATGCCATGTCCTGTACCTGAGTGTCCAGACTCAGGTCTGGGCTCCATTTCCCACCCAACTTCCTGCTAACGCCAAACACTGGCAAGGCAGCAGGTGATGGCTCAGGGATTTGGCTCCCTGATTTGTGCAAGAACCCGATGGAGTTCATGGCTCTGGCTTCAGCCTGGTCCAGTTCTGGCTATTGTGGATACTTGGGAAGCAGACCAGCAGATGGGAAATGTTTTGGTATATCTCTACCTCCCTGTTGGTGCCTCTCTGCTTTAAAACAAAATGAAAATAGATAAATAATGTTTTTAATCTTTGAAGGCTACCACTAAGAAAATTTATTTTCAGTAAACCAAGTGGTACACAAAAATATAGCTATTTTAAGTTCTCTTTTTTTGGTAAAGATTAATTTCATTTGTATTGGAAAGTCAGATATAAGAAGAGGAAAGACAAAGAGGAAGATAGATCTTCCCTCCAATGGTTCACTCCCCAAGTGGCCACAATAGCTGGAGCTGCACCAGTACAAAGCCAGGAGCCAGGAGCCTCTTCCGGGTCCCACACACAGGTGTAGGGTCCCAAGGCTTTGGGCCGTTCTCAACTGCTTTCCCAGGCCACAAGCAGGGAGCTGGATGGGAAGTGTGGCCACTGAGATTAGAACTGGTGGCCATAAGGGATCCTGGCATGTACAAGGCGAGGACTTTAACTGCTAGGCTACAATGCTGGGCTCTTAAGTTCTTCCTATTTAAGTTTCAGATGCACCTCATCTCTGAGTTAACTTGTTCTTTCCATCAATCAAGAAATTTTTAAAAATTAATATTTATTTATCTTCATCTACTTCAAAGACACACACACAAATTTAGAGAGAATCCTGCTCTCACTGTTTCCTTCCCCAAATGCCCCACAGCAGCCAGGGTTGGAGCAAGCCAAAATCAGGTCAAAATAAGGAGCCCTGGGCGCAGAATGGTGGTGCAGTGGTTAAGGCCTTCGCCTTGCACGCCCCGGTATCCCATATGGTCGCCAGTTCTAATCCCAATGGCCCTCCTTCCCATCTAGCTCCCTGCTTGTGGCCTGGGAAAGCAGTTGAGGATGGCCCAAAGCCTTTGGACACTACACCCGCATGGGAGACCTGGAAGAACTCCTGGCTCCAAGCTTCGGATTGGCTCAGCTCCAGCCGTTGCGCTCACTTGAGGAGTGAACCATTGGAGGGAAGATCTTCCTCTCTGTTTCTCCTCCTCTCTGTATATCTGCCTTCCCAATAAAAATAAATAAATCTTAAAAAAAAAAAATAAGAAGTCCAGAATTCCAGCTGGGTTTCCTGCACGGGTGGCATGAGCCGAAGTACTCCAACTACCATTCACTGCCTCCCAGAATACATCATCATGAACTATTGTGGAGGATTGACACGCTGTGCCATGATGTCTACCCTGGGAGATGACAATGCTAGGACACCAACA